GCGTCCGATCACAGGCCTTCCGCTCCTTGAGTTCTCTCCAGCGCTGGAAAGCTGATCCGATATTTACACGGCTCCTACTTCTTGCCTTAAGCCTTCTTTTGTTCCGCAGACGTTTTCCTCTTTTGTTTTTTATCCGCCATCTCTATCTTTCTGTCGCTCAGTGCGGCTAATGTCCGTCCTGTGCACTGAGCGCTCTCTCCTCCACATCATGAGTAGACACACCCCTTACTGCTGATTGGCTACAAGTTTGTTTTGCTAGTCGGCCCGACTCAGTTTTCTAAAGCGTTTTTGAAAAATCGCTTACCCCACCTTTAATATTTTGTGGAAACCATGATACATATTTATATTCAGGATTCTTTGATGAATAGAAAGTTGATTTATTTGAAATAGAAATCTTTTGTAACATTGTAAGTGTCTGTCACTTTTGATCCATCAGAAAAAGAAATGTTACTAAATGTTACAGTTACTAAGAAGAAATCCTTGCTAAATAAAAAATAAGAAAGTTACTTACTGACCCTAAACTTTTGAACTGTAGTGTATATTGTGGGGACAAAGAGCTTAAAACATTTTGTTTGTTTATGAATTAACTTTAAAGAAATTTTTGTGTGATATTTAGGTTTAGGGGTAGAAGATAAAGTAGAAAATATAATAAAAAATGGAAAAGTCCCACATTTTTTTGTTGACTCTTTTAAGTTGTGTTTGTGTGTGTTTCAGGTTCTATGCTGCTTGTGTAGTTTTAGGGCTTGAGTTTTTACATGACAACAAGATTGTGTACCGGTGAGTATGCAAAAAAAATGTGTGCACATGTTCTGGCTTTGTCTAAAGAATGTTATACATGTTTTAAATACATATTTGCATATATTTTTGGGTTTTCCCTCCAGAGATCTTAAATTGGACAACTTGCTGCTTGACACGGAGGGTTACGTGAAGATCGCCGACTTTGGATTGTGTAAAGAAGGTAATGACTTTTTTCACCTACCTTTCTACGTGTCCTTCTGTTGATTGTGCTTGATATGAAGTCAGGAGCATTTGTCAGACATGTTTTTGTCTCTTTCTCAGGGATGGGTTTTGGGGACCGGACCAGTACGTTCTGTGGGACTCCAGAGTTTCTGGCTCCAGAGGTTCTAACAGACACGTCGTACACGCGGGCCGTGGACTGGTGGGGACTCGGAGTGCTTATATATGAAATGTTGGTGGGAGAGGTGAGAAATTGGAGCATTTAAATTTGAAATGTTTGAAACGTTCGTATAGTTTTGGCATTTGTCCGATCTAAATCTGTCTTTCTAGTCCCCGTTTCCAGGTGATGATGAAGAGGAGGTTTTTGACAGCATAGAGGGTTACGTGAAGATCGCCGACTTTGGATTGTGTAAAGAAGGTAATGACTTTTTTCACCTACCTTTCTACGTGTCCTTCTGTTGATTGTGCTTGATATGAAGTCAGGAGCATTTGTCAGACATGTTTTTGTCTCTTTCTCAGGGATGGGTTTTGGGGACCGGACCAGTACGTTCTGTGGGACTCCAGAGTTTCTGGCTCCAGAGGTTCTAACAGACACGTCGTACACGCGGGCCGTGGACTGGTGGGGACTCGGAGTGCTTATATATGAAATGTTGGTGGGAGAGGTGAGAAATTGGAGCATTTAAATTTGAAATGTTTGAAACGTTCGTATAGTTTTGGCATTTGTCCGATCTAAATCTGTCTTTCTAGTCCCCGTTTCCAGGTGATGATGAAGAGGAGGTTTTTGACAGCATAGTAAATGATGAAGTTCGTTATCCGCGGTTCCTTTCCTCAGAGGCCATTGGCATCATGAGGAGGGTAAACATCTCAAACAGAAATGTCTTAACTACATGATTTTCTGCATATAATTTTATGTAAAAATTAAGTGTGGATAAATTTAAATTTGACATATTATTTTAAACAGTTACTAAGAAGAAATCCAGAAAGACGACTGGGTTCCAGTGAGAAAGATGCAGAGGATGTAAAGAAACAGCCTTTCTTCAGGGTAAGAGAGATCTTTACTTTTATAAACACTAATAATATGTAACTTTATGTGAAATACTAAAAATGTAAAATGTAATCTTTAACAAATATATTTTTCAAAAAAGTGTCTTTTTCGTAAATGAGGGTTTCCCAAATGGGGGTTCATGGACCTTTAAGGGTTCATCAGTTGATGAAAAGCTAATAATTAATAGCTAATTATCAAATGTAAAATTAAAATAAACAAATAAATGGAGCTGCACAATATTTGTGATATAGTGTAATTATCAAAATAAAAGCTGCAATATAATTAAATAACTGATGCGCTGGGTGTTTCAGTATGAAGAATGCATTACATTTAATTATTATAATAATCCATTTTTTATTATAATTTTTCAGTACAACTGTAATTTACAACAGTAATATATTTCTGTCTTCATTTTTATAATTAGAATTAAAATACTACTACTAATTATTATTATTATGAATGACATCAGAGAACTGTGAGCATGCAAATGTGTCATTAAATTATTGAAATATTTATTATTTCTATTATATATATTTATATTTAATATTTATATCCAAGGGGTTCGGCTGACAAAAAAGTTAACTACGTTTTTAAAAAGTTTTTAGTTAAAAACTAAACATATTGTTGTGAAGCCTAAATTCATTTCTAACATTTAATTTTTTTTAATTCATTTTTAAATTATAACAGAATTTTATTATCAGCCATTTATCTTTTATCAGTCACAACAAGAATATAATTATCGCTTTAATTTTAATATCTTTTAAGTTCAATATCGGCGCATCCCTCTTTTTAAGTTATTGTTTTTAAGTTATTTTTTTGGTGTTGCATTTGCATTTTTGGTTTGCATATGAAATGACGGCATAAATTCTAACATAACTAAATAAATTATATGTTCATACACATACTTTTCACTTTTCAGAATATGAACTGGGAGGCTCTTCTCCTCCGTAAACTCCCTCCTCCCTTCCTTCCGACTATCGGAGGAAAAGAAGACATCAGCAACTTCGATGAGGAATTCACAACAGAAGCGCCGACTCTCACGCCGCCTCGCGAACCCAGGGTGCTCTCGCGCAAGGATCAGGACAGTTTCCGTGACTTTGACTATGTCTCTGACCTCTGCTGAGAGCGTCTTCACTGTGATAGTGCCGTAGAGAGACATTTCTCCCCCGTGACTCAAGTGACGACGAGGACAAGAGTGGCCAATTTGAGTGTTTTGCGTGAATTGTGAATGTGCTGGACCTGTGAACACTGTGATGGAAGAAGAAGAAAGCCTGAAAACAGTTAGAATCGGATTAAAGACAGAAAGCTTGTTTCTTACCAGCAGGTTTAAAGGTGCATTTGATCATTTTTTTTTATATTGCGCCTCGACTCAGACTGACAGCTAGTGGTTTGGATGAAGCATCACACTAAAGTGTTCAGTTACAGATGCAATTGTAGAACAGCATTATTCAAAGTCAGCCATGATTCATTTATTCAGCTGGTGAAAGTGTCCAATAACAGGTGTGTTACTGAAATGAGTGAGTAACGTTCGGCTGGTCATGTGATCTCAACATGGCGGCCCCCATCGGACCTCTTAATGTAAAATAAAACAACTTTTATTAGGCTACTGATATGACTAGTGTCTTCATCTCATGTGAATGGTCATACTTTTAAACTCTATTCAGAAGTAATATTTATTTCTTTAAATAAATGTTTTTTAATGAAAAAAATGACCGAGTGCACCGTTGAACTTGTTGAAATTGTTGGTTTGTCTTCAAGTGTCATATCTACTTTTGAAAAATGCATCTTGTCTTAATAAAGACAATGTGAAGGTATATTTCACAACTTCAAACTTGAAGCAAATCAATAAAGGTCACACAGAAACATCTCAGTGAGCTTTTGTAAATGATACGACCAAGAGCATGTTGGGAAATGCTTTTCTGCAGACACTTTGACGTTAGATGGATAAAGAGAGTTACGCTGAAAGCTGGATTATTTAATTGGCTAATTTAGGCTTGAACATTAATGGATGTGTACTTGCTCTTGGAGTTCTTAGTGGTTAAGGAGTTAAACCTCTTTAGACTTGTTCATTCTGGGTATTTCTCATACATCTTCAAGCGCTTCATCTCTTACAGGTTACATGTGAAAGTCAAGCATATTGCAATATAGTAGAGCAGTCCTTTTTGAAGACAGCTTGATCTCCACTTTTAGAGCCTGTCTATAGCTGGACATACTGTTTTTCCACGCATTAAGTGCACTTTTAGTATGGTTACCTTTATGAATTTTTGCAAAAACAAACAAACCTGTTACATAAACAAAATGCCTTAAAATATTGTTCCTGTCTGCCCTGGTTTTTGTTCTTCCTGTTTACATTTTTTTCACTTCAGTGAGGGAAACAAATGGCTAGAAACTTAAATCTTGATTGGCTAATCATTAAAAAAAAGCGTAATGTGTTTCACATTTTAAATATGACCGCTAGGAAATATGTACATTCAGTACGTTACTTCATCACTTTGTTGTTGCGTTTAGTTTTAAATACATTTTGAGACTGTTTTTCTGAATCGCATGCTTCTTTTTGTATTCTCAGGCTGAGAGCACAGTAGCTCATGTGGGAGATTTGTCTTGTCTGAAAAGTGAATTCATGTCATTTACCTTACAATAGCATATGTAAAACTACAGTACATCAAGACAGAGTGTCCTGTGACAAAATGACAGATCATTTTGATTCAGACCTAGGTCTTTGAGAACTCAAATATTTGACCTTTTGTATGGGAATATTGTACTGGAGTATAGGAGAAAGAATGTGTTGATTATTTTCACAAGGTCCAATCAAGACTCCATGGCCTCAAATAGCAGATTCTTTCTCCAATATTATACATGCTTTTAAATACCGTAGATATCCGTTAAATAGAACATGGTATCTGTTGTTTATTTTAGTCATGATACAAATGAATGGTGACTAGTGACTGTTATGTGTTAGTTCTGGTTTAACACACTTTATTACCTCAGAGCTGTTTTGATGCCTTTGAAGCATCATTTTGTGCAGTTGTTTTTATTAGACAGTTTGTGCGAACAGCACACCATGACACAATTGAATGAAGCCAAAAAATGAAACTCACACACACTAGCAACACTGAAAAAAAAAAAAAAAAAACACATACGTAAAAATATTTGTAAATGAAAGACTTTTGAGATGAACACGTGTTTGTGTTGTCTGTGCATTTGTACAGACTATCCTGAATTAAACAAGGACACTTCTTCTCTGTAAAAAAACTAACTTGCTCCGCTAGTCAGTGTTGTTGTTACCCGCAGTGGCCGCTAGGGGCAAGTGGCGCTGTTTTACAAACAATATTGCCTAAAACAGGGCTGTCCAAACTCGGTCCTGGAGGGCCGGTGTCCTGCAGAGTTTAGCTCCAAC